CCCCGGCCCTGGCCGCCCGCAGCGCGGCGCGCCGGCCCGCGCCCCGACTTAAAGCTCGCCTGGGCCTCCCCGGGTTGGGCTTTGTTGTCTGTCCTCCTCCTCTTCCCTCGTGGGGTGTGTGGCTGATGTGGATAACCGGGCTCGCGGGGACCCGGGCGGGAAGGTCGCTGCGGCCGTGCTGCGGCGGCTCGGGGCGCGCCTCGGAGGGCCGGCTCCGCTGCGCCCACGCCCGCAGCCGCTACTTTAGGGCGAGTTTGGGGCGGGAGGAGGCTGCTGGTGATGCCGTGACCCCTGGGGAACTTCAGCCCCTCGCTGAAACCTCGTTAGCGCCCCGCAGCCCTCTCGGGCGCCAGGGGAGGACACGTCCTGCAAGAGCCAGTCGACCTTTGAGCAATCGGGTTGTTCATCCATTTGCCCCTCCCTGGCCCCTTTAAGGAAATTTTGGGGTTTACCGCGTTGGGTGTGTGAAGGGAGCTGTTTGCATCGGACAGCCATTTCATGCCTGCATCGCTCAGAAGTTGTGTAGGAGCCACCAAATTAGGATAAATCCTCCCCTCATTTGGGTTAAAGAAAAAGGCTTGGGTTGCCTGTGACAAGTTATCTGACATTGACGATTCTTCCAGGCGCTTGAATCTAAATTGAATTTTGAACCCCTTTGAGAAGCTGAAAGTTATATGGACCCTTTATGCAAAACAAATGCCATATGTACATACACAAAATTTTTCCTACAATTTGAAGTGGTTCTAGAACTCCTATTGAGTAACGCTGTTCCACAAAATGTTTGAGCTCGGCTTGTGTAACTGACATTTTTGTATACATTTTCAAAGCTATTTGCAAAACAAAAAAGCAGAAGCAGCATTTGGACGTGGCTTTGCGCTGGTGGTATTTTCTGCTATTTAAAAAATATCAGCCAGACTCAGATTGCTATTAAAATTTTAAATAATGCAATTCTGAAGTAGTTTAGAAATTTGTAATGTGGCTTTTTTTGGACAGTTTTCTCAGTTTTATTGGGGGGTATAATTGACAAATAGAAATTGTATATATATTAAAGGTGTACAACTTAATGTTTTGCTATATGTATACGTTGTGAAATGATCTCTACGAACTAGTCAACCTATCCTTTACTTCACAGTTACCATTTTTTCTTGTGGGTGTGATGAGAACACTTAAGATCTGTCCTTTTAGCAGATTTCAAGCATACAATACAATATTGTTAACTGTAGTCACTATACTGTACATTAGATCTAGACATATAAATTTTAAAACCTTGCATTAGATTTGAAATCATTCTCTTAAATTTGGTCCTGCAATACTTTTAAAATTCATAGAATTTAATGTAGTCATGAATTTATTGAAAACCAGCCTAAGTAGGGAATTATTTTCTCTAAAGTGTATACTATTTGTCCTAAGAGAAGACTGCAGTTGAGAGGTTTCTGATGCTTACTGAGTATTTACAAATCCTGCAATCACAGTAACTTCACTGAGTGAGAAGACACTTCATTATCCCTAGTGGCTGGAGAGAGTGGTTTCAATTATCTCTGCATGTCAAAAGCCATCTCTAATGGCTTTGTAACTGAACCTCTTAAAATTTATTTGTAATAATAACATGTTTGGAGGTGTAATATCACCCAAGCATTGTATCCGTTTTTCCATTATTTTCTACCAGGAAGAAAACATCATAATACTTAGAAGTTGTTAAGTAACTGAAGGAAGGACTTGGAGGTTTTATTGCCGTCTCTAGACCTTTGCTGTGGCAAAAAATATAGTGGAAAAAGATACTTTATAATACTACCCAAGTTTAAAGAATTTGGACAGTATGTCTTTACAAAGCATATATTTTATCTCAGCTTTGACAGTGATAAACTGTTGGTAAGTCAGGACATGCCTTTCCAATAAAAATTTTTTTCAGCTGTATGCTGAGAATAGATTACTTTTACAGTAATAGTGATGTAATTATTTATGTTTATTTTCTTCTTGAGCACACAAATACTTAAAATTATTTTTTAGTTTAAAAAAGTTATAACTTAGATGCAAAACTTGTGTGGTTTCCTTAGCAAATGAACTGATGGTGAAAGTCAAGATAATGACCTCTGAGTTGATTCATGTAGGGATTTTTTTTCCTTTTTGAGAATTTGAAGAAATTTATATTTTTGAAATATTGGGCACTATGTCTTTTGACTAACTTGAACAATTTTAGAGCTTTTCTGAAAACGAAGGGAACCAGTCTTCTGATTGAACTTATCAGCCATCATTTTGGTCCTGAGGGACAAGTAAATAATTTCTGCTATTTAAATGAGTTTATCTGAATATGTGGGTTAATTCTAGGTGTCCTAAAACTGGTTTTAGGGCCTAAAGGGAAAACCAAAGACTAAAGGGAAAACCAGAGGTAATATAGAACCAGAACCAATGTTCAGAAAAATTGGAGGAGACTTTCTTTCTAAGGTAATGGCAGGTAAAAACAAATAGGAATAATAACAAGTGTGGTTTGGAAAATACTCAACTTTTGACCTTTGCTTGAGGATTTAATTTTGTTTTACCCACAGTTTTTCAGCTTTATAGAGTAACTGTGTTGTAAATGAAAATAGGATGAATATTTTCTTACATATACATACAAAGATCAAACAAAAGCCCCCCTTTTTTTTCTCTTGGCAAGTATGTTTGGAAAGGTAAGTTTAAATAGGACATGAGGTATGTCTTTTATGCATTTGGTTGAGTGCATTTGACAGTACCCTGTTATTCAAAATGTATAATAGTTTCAAAGTTGGATGAAGGATGGATGTGTTTCCCTTAGGCTTTAAACATCAAATATGATATAGTGATATTTTGAGTACTTATACCTAGTTAGACTGAATTTGTTCCTTTTTATAAATCATACTTTAAAAATATTAATATAGTCAACCCTTAAAACATTCAGAGGTAGGATGTGACAGTTTTAAAGTGTGCTAAAAATAAAGTTATAGAGAACACTTACGTGATCTGAAGGAATGCCCTTTGTTAGTGCCTTGAGCTTTAAATCTGCCTTTTCCTAGCTGAAGCATTGCCATAAGGTGTTTAGTGATATCATAATGATAGTGGTAGTAACTGGTATGATTACATCAAATACTCAGGTTTTCTGCTGTGGTTCTGAATTAGATGGACCTAAAAGTGCTGTAGTAACAATGAAACATAACTCTTTTGCCTAAACTCAGTTGGATATGTTCTTTTATAATAGGTATTGGGGGGGTGAGAGGTGAATCGCAACTTTAGTGATGACTTTTGTGAAATGATCTTGATTAGTAATTGGAATTTGATCATTTCTTGGCTTGAATGAAGCTGGTAAATTAATTTGAGGCCAGGCAATAAATGGTGAGTTGACAGCCTCTATTGTTGTGTTGTGAGTATTCCTGTATGTTGAGAATAGAAAGGTTTTTACAGAGTCATGATTTTTCTGACTGGACGAAATGTGTGTGTGTGTTCTCTGAGAAAATGACGAATTCATGGAGACTCCTAGATAGTATTTTACTGAGTGATAGCTTAATTAGGTCCCTCAAATTGTGCGTTAAAAAATGAAGAATGTAATCATCTAGATAACTTCTAAAGCTACAATGAGATACTAATTATTATTACTACTTTAAGGATATTCATATTTTGCACTGGCAAAATAATATTCTAAAAAGTGGAATTTGTTGTATAAAGTCATTCATTTTAAGAGGAGGAATGATCAACATAGAAAGAACATCAAATTGCTCTTCATACTAATGTTTTACTTCCACTTTCTATTTTTCTTTAATTAAAAAAATCCATTGCTGTTACCTAGCATAGTGCTTGGCACATAATAAGTACTTGGTAAATGTTTGTGAGTCATTCTTTCAATAAGTATTGTGTGGTAGGCATTGTAGTGGGCCCTGGGGATACATCACTGAACAAGAAAGATAAGGTGCCAGCTCTAAGGGAGCTTTCATTCTAGTGGAGAGGAACAGTCTGTAAGTAAACTAACAAGATACTTCAGCTAGTGTTAAGTGCCACGAAGAAAAGGAAACTGGGTGAGATGGCAGAGGATGGGCAGAGCTACTTGGGGTAGGCTGGTCACAGAAGGCCTCTCTGAGGAGATCACATTGTGCTGAGACCTGAATGATGAGAAGGAAGGAGCCAGACATGAGGGGAGGCGTGTTCAGGCGGAGGGTACAGAAACAGCTCCAAGGTGGAAGTGAGTTTGGGAATATCAAAAGCCAGTGAGTCTGGAGCATGGTGAGCGGGGATGTGAGGAGAGGGAGGCCTGGTAATGTAAGGTATCGTAAGAAGTTTGGATTCTGTTCTACATGAGGAAAAGGTAGCTATGAAAGGGTAGGGGAGATGATTGTTGATTCTTTGAGCACATTGAGTGCCTACTATGAGGCAGACATTGTTCTATGTACTGGGGTAACAAGCAGACATTCATATCTTTGGTGTTTACGGATCGCTCCTGGCTGTTTTGTGGGGGAAGAAATTGTGGAGGGATGGGAGAAAGAATAGCAGTAGGGAAGTGTTAATAGGTCATTGCAGTAATTAGGTGAGAGATGCTGGCTTGGATTACAGTGGTAAGATTGGATTTGGAGGAAAAAAGAGAATGGATTTGGAATATACTTGAGAAATCTGACAGGATTTACTGATGGTTTGAAGGTAGCAAATGAGGAAAGAGGAGTCAAAGATGAGTCTTAGTTTTGGCTTCAGTAATTATATTGGATGGTGGTGCCATTTCCCCAGATAGGGAAGAGTGTGAGGAAGATAAATGAAATCAAAAGTTCTATTTTGGAGTAGCTGGATCATATCCAGAGAACATGAAAT